TGTTCTTGCTTGCATTTTTAAGGAGAGTACTTACAAGTGGTTCAAAAAGCTGTTTCGTTATTACTTAGATGCCATGTGTTTCTAATGTAGAGAGAGCTCCCTGTTTTCACTGCTAACTCCTCTTCTGCTCTTTCCTGTTTATCAGTTGATCTCATGAGAAGTGGCATTGACATTTTGGTTGGGACACCTGGGCGAATCAAGGACCATCTTCAGAATGGCAAGCTGGACCTTACCAAAGTGAAACATGTTGTACTTGATGAAGTTGACCAGATGCTGGACATGGGATTTGCTGAGCAAGTGGAAGACATTTTACGTGTTGCATACAAGAAGGGTAATCTCAATAGTTAAACAAATAGTAGGAAATGTTAGTAATAATTAAGTCCGCTAAATTCAGTTATGTTTTTCTGAAGGTGTCTTTGTTAAGAAATGACTGAATACTGTATATCATAGGAAATGTACTGTGAACACAGTACATGATGAAATGTTGTGAAAGTGGTAATCATTCATAAGACCTTTGCAAAGGTTATATACAGATCCCTAGGTAGTGGATTTTAACTTTCATTGACACTTATCTATAAAGTTGTATTTGGACTTCTTCCATTTAAAAGGAATTAGAAGCTTTTTACCCTTTTCACTGCTTGAAAATAGACTGGGTTTTTGGTCACAGTAACTTCTTTCGTTATCTTGGAAATATTCAGACTTTCTGGAGTTGTTTTTTTTTTTTCTCCGGATGTTGGTAATGTATATGTTTAAAAAGAATTGCCTTCTTTATTTTAGATACACTGGTATTTAACCTCATATTTTTAATAACCCATGAAAAAAATTGTATACTTCTGTAATGTGAAACATAGCAAGTTTGTGAAACATTGTTCTGTGTTTTAAGATTCTGAGGACAATCCCCAGACACTGCTGTTCTCTGCAACTTGCCCACATTGGGTGTATGATGTGGCTAAGAAATACATGAAGTCTAGATATGAACAGATTGACCTTATTGGGAAAAGAACTCAGAAGGCTGCTACAACAGTAGAAGTGAGTAATCTATCTAATGTGAAATGTTTTCAGGCCTTCTCCCTTTTTCTTTGTGCTACAAATGGTAATCCCATCCTAAGGTACATCGTTGGAATGATGTTGAAAGCTGGTTTGGGAATTACTTTTAAGCAGCTGTTTCTTGGTTTAGGCTCTCTCTTCTCACAGCATCTGATAATCATATAGACATCTCTGAGAGAGGATTCAGTTACCATATTGTTGGTTTTCAGAGAAAAGTGGTATCTGAATTTACCCAAGTTGGAATCCAAAGGCACACATTAACATTAGCCTGGCTCTTTTAAATTGCCAGGGACTTCACAGTCAACTCCTGCTATTCTGTATATAGGAGATTTTTTCAGACTTCTGTGGTATCTCACTTCACTAGGCCTTTGTTGTGCAGTAAATACTCTAACAAGGAATACAGTCTTTCCTGTTAGGGTGGTGAGGCACTGGAATAGGTTGCCCAGGGAGGTTGTGAATGCTCCATCTCTGGCAGTGTTCAAGACCAGGTTGGACAAGGCCTTGGGTGATATGGTTTAGTGTGAGGTGTTCCTGCCCATGGCAGGGGGTTTGGAACTAGATGATCTAAAGGTTCTTTCCAACCCTAACCATTCTGTGATTCTATGATCTTTACTTGATAATTGTTTTTGCTTAAGTCTTGCTTAGTGGTTACTTTGACAGATAAACAGGACATGTAATTGTGTTAGTGGGATTGAAAGAATGTTCATCTTGTGCTTGCAAAAAAGCTTTTAACACACTGCATTTATTTGTTTTGCTTCATCTGACCTAAAGTTTTAGTTGATAGAACTGTGACAAAATCTTGCACCTTGACTGTGCTCCACGGAAATGGAATAATATTTCCTGTTTTCCTTGCTTTAAAAAAGTGATTTACAGACTGTCATCTTTATTTTTTTATCTCTTACTGTAATTATTTTTCTTAATGTTAGACTAATTCTGGTGGATATAAGAATCTTACGGACTTTGCATGTTCCAGTAACATGAGTTAGCATTTTTTGTCCATTGGGAAACTGTGTAACTCTTTATCTCTGAATTTTACAGTTTCAAATGTATTTAAAAAAAAAAATCTCGTGTTTTTATGTAAACTGAACACTGGAATTTTTTTCTGTAGCATTTGGCAATAGAGTGTCACTGGTCTCAGAGAGCCGCTGTTATTGGAGATGTCATTCAGGTCTACAGTGGCAGCTATGGGAGGACCATCGTCTTTTGTGAGACCAAAAAAGAGGCAAATGAACTGGCTCTGAATGCTTCGATCAAACAGGTATTTTATCATCTGTATTAAGTAACAAAACCTGTCGGAGATGCATCGACCCTACGTTGATACCAGACCTATGCTGAGTAAGCTTTAAAGAGAGGTTTCTAGGGTGGGTAAGGCAGGCTTTTGCAGGTAGTCAGGTAGTTTCAAACTGCCAAAAAGAACCTTTTAAAAACCCCAAACAACCTGGTTGAAAGTTTTACAGCATTATAGTCTTCAGGACTAGGCTGCGCTAACAGATACTGGGATTTTTTTCTTAAAGGGAGAGTTCTCACTGACATTAAGTGAAGCATTTGTGAATTTTATGTAGAGAGGACTGTTTTGGATTAAAAAGTGGTGTTAGACTTAGAGAACTACTAGGATAACAGGTGATGGTGCTGGATTAGTGGTTACTGAGCCGTGACACTGACATTAACTAGTGTTGTCCGGGGGGAGGGGGCAGATTAGGATTTAGAGCTGTAATATAACAGAGGTTGTATTAAGATGTTTATTAGCTGTTACAAAGAGTTTAAAGATGCATACACAGCAAGAATTCAACCTGCCATCTCTTGTGAACAACCTCTAGTGTATTCCTGAGATTCGTGGTATGGCACTGGTGGAAAATAACTTGCTGGTGAGGTGGTGCAATGCTTATGATGTATAGCGACACTCAAGCACTGCATGCTTGGTTTTGATGGTGGTACCACAGCAACTATTTTTTTCCAGATGTACTTTTGTTGAGGAGATGAGTTATGTCTAGAAAACAGTATAGCATTATGTTCCCAGGGATAAGAGGAGCTTTTTCATCTGCTTACAACTGTGTTCATGAATGTTTCTCCCATACTCCTGGATGACCTCAGTAGCAGCTAAACCTGAGTGTGGAGTCTTATTCTGTTACTGATAGTGTTAAGTTGTCAAGTCTTGCATAGGCAATGCAGAACTTGGTTCTTGGCACGTAAGAAAAGGAAATTATTTTGATGTTTCTCTTTTAGCATATTAATACTCAGTAATAGAAATGTGGCTATTCCATTTAGCAGCTGGCATTAATCCAAAACTGAAAGAGACTTTTTGAATTCTGTGCTGACCCTAGCATTGAGTTAGTATTTTTTCAAATAATTCTCTGTTTACATGTGGAAAACATGGTGGTCATCTGCAGGCAAACTGTGAAATGTCAAGTGGAGGAGAAACCAATTTTTGGATGTTTGGTCTACATACTTGTTACTGCTGTGATATAGGACTTTCAGAATGTTTGGGTTAAAATGAAATTGTCTTGGAAGCTGTAGTAGTTGTGAGTTTGGGGTTTTTGGAGAGGTCATGTTTTTGGTTTTTTTTTCATGATCACTTGTATTTTAATCCTTTAATTGGTAGTAGGGGAAATTAATATGTTAAGGGGGATTAAGAATCGACACTTTTGGAAAAGATATCTAAATAATACTAAGGCGGCCTGAGAAAATTGTTGATGGCTATTTTGAAACAGCTAAGCTTTGCAGAGATTGTGTGGATGGCAAGTTAGGGCATAGTTGTTTTCATATGTCACAGTAATTAGAGGTGGACATAAGACAGATGTTGCGATTCTTTTTTCCTACCTTTGTTAAAGGTCTTTGAAGTATATGAATAAGAAGCACTGAGTAAATATTGTCAGACAACTAAAATATAAACTCTGTTAATTCAGTTCTTCTGTATCTTGCCATACAGTATCTATCAACTATCAGGTATTGTACCCAAAACTGACTGTAAAATGGAGCACTGTCTTGGATTTTAGTACAGTCCTATAATAATACTGTTTTTTCAGGATTGCCAGTCATTGCATGGTGACATTCCTCAGAAGCAAAGAGAGATCACACTGAAAGGTTTTAGAAATGGTACATTTAAAGTTCTGGTTGCAACCAATGTAGCTGCCCGTGGCTTAGATATCCCTGAAGTTGACCTGGTTGTACAAAGCTCACCACCGAAGGTAGGATATGGTTATACTGCGTGCTTTTGTAATAATTTGTAGTCTTCTTTTCAAGTAGTATATGCACTCGCCACATATGGTATTCACCACACAGAGTTTATTGTTGCATTTAAGGGTAAGAAATGTCCTGGTATACAGAAGTTTCTTAGGGCATTTTTTTCAGAGTGCATCAGTGCCTAGTATGTTTAAAAATGGTCTCCTTGAAGTATCTTTTCTGAGGCTGTCCAAAGCCTCTCCCTTCAGCGTCATGTGTGGTGATTGCAAGTCTGGAAGCAGTGGGAAGTAAATAAGACTTTGCCTTGCAAGAACAATTCATTAAGTAGGGACATAGATGAGGAGGAGACCCCAATGGTGAGAACATTGGCTGAAGTTAGGGTTTAAAAGAAACAAGGTAGTTTTTTAGTGAATTCACTGTTAATATCTCAATAACCATAATCAAGTTGATGTGCAGGAGGGTGAGTGGGATTGTTATGGGGGTATACACACTCAAAACGGTTTGGTGTAGGGTTGGTTGGTTTTTTTTCCTTCATATTCTCGGTGGTGATGCCAAAACAAGACTTAGTTTATCCATGTTTGACTCATGCTCATGGTTTTGGCTTTTAAATTGTGATTTTTAGAGGGCTATAGAAAAGCTTGTTAATTTTACTTCAGTGAAACAATGTTTCTTTATTTCATTCTCTGATGCAGTTACTGTGTATTGTTCAGGCTGATCTGTAATAGCTTCTACTAAGTTATGCAAATACAGTTAATTGATTAAACTACAATAAATTAGATAAGTCATAAGGCTATTCATTTTGAAGGATGTGGAGTCCTATATCCATCGCTCTGGGCGTACAGGTCGAGCAGGACGGACTGGGATCTGTATCTGTTTTTATCAGCGAAAGGAAGAACATCAGTTAAGATACGTGGAACAGAAAGCGGTAAAGTATAGTTTTCTTCTGAGCACTCAGATGTAATGTAGCATGTAAACAGCATGTAAAATCTTCATGTTTTATTCAGTAGTTCAGTTACAGAATACAGCTTATAAAGCAGCTGGTTGAGGTTCAGTTACCTGGCAGAGTTTTGGTAACATGGTCAGTTGTGGAGCAGGGAATGTGCTGCAGGGTTTTATGCCCACATTTTCAGAAAATGCCAGTAAGAATGTACCTGTGGCAATGAGAGAAAGCCAGCAGGATTTCAGTGTTCACCCTGGCTTACTGTTTGATCAGTGATTTGCATATATGTAGCTTTACTAAGAACTGTTACTAGAGGTTTTGTACTTTGTGCGCTTTTCCATATAGTACTTTTTCTTGCCAATTAGGTATTCAGTTGGGATGAGATGTTTTTGTCTCGGCGCATAAAAAAACCTTAGACTTATGTTTGGAAAGGCTGTGTAAGTTGTACTTAAATACATATAAACCAGACTAAAATTAATAATTTGGAATTTGTAGACTTCTCCCCCTCCCTTCTACCCCACCCCTCCTCCCACCCATAATCTGCCCAAATGGTCTCTATTTATTTCAGTTTAAGGTCACTGCATCATTTAAACTGATGACATAGTGCAAACAAAAGATGTTTAAGTGTTACCCATTTCCCTGTAAACTTAACCTTCTAATTTTCACTAGCAAAAGGTGGGAGTTAAATGTTGAAAAGAAGAACAGAAGTGATAGATTTAAATGCTTGTTTCATTGGAGTCCAGTACTGTTTCTTTAGAACTGAATTATTTATGGTGTGCAAGTTTCATCTGTATTTTGCTTTTTAAATTTCAGGGCATTACATTCAAGCGTGTTGGTGTTCCTACTGCAACTGATATAATAAAGGCTTCCAGCAAAGATGCCATCAGGTGTGTTCTGTGACTCAAGCCCTGTCATGTCTTACTGCTGCCTTAGTTCAGAAGGGCTGTTTGGGTTGCTCTTTACTGTCTCTCTGAACTCTTTGGACTGATCACTCTTAAAATCTTGAACTGCTGTTTTTTTTCTTGTGTTCCAGAGCCTAGTAAATACTAGTGTATGTGTGTGTATATATTTTTTTGTCTTTTTTTTTTTTTCTTTCTTAGGTGTCTGGATTCTGTTCCTCAAACTGCTATTGAATATTTCAAAGAATCTGCTCGGTTTCTAATAGAAGAAAAGGGACCAGTTAATGCTCTAGCTGCAGCTCTAGCTCATATTTCAGGTGCTACTTCCATTGAACAGCGCTCCCTGCTGAACTCGGATGCGGTAAGGGTGTATGGCTTAACATTTGTCTGAAATCTGAAAAAAAACATCCCACAAAGAAAAAAATATGCCTCTATGTTGTTTAAATAATTATGTCTTGTCATGATTTTATTTATGAGAACTGTACTTATGCCACTAGTAACTAATAGTATAGTTAAAAGCAAGAATATAGTGGCTATAAATATACTTACTCCCTTGTAACAGTATCTACTTGAAAAGTTAGTTAATGTACTGTAAATTGGCAGGCTTCTTGTGTCTGATAGATGTGCTGAAGCATATTCCTCTCACTTAATGGAGCATATCCCATTTTTTACTCTTTAGGGATTTGTTACAATGATACTAAGCTGTTCAGAAGAAATAAACAATATGAGCTATGCTTGGCGAAAACTGCGAGAACTGTTAGGTGACGATGTTGATAGGAAGGTGAACAGAATGTGTTTCCTCAAGGGAAAAATGGTAAGGTTTTTTGTATCTCTGCTACTGAGCTCTTCTGGTTGTAGCCTTTTCTCAAGAATTTCCCCTGTACCATGCTTTGTTGATAAGGTCATGACTGGTAGAAGGGTGGGCCTCAGTCTGTTTTATTAGGCTTGGGTATCTAAGGGGTTTAAGGCTCTGCTCCACTGACATGCTAAAGAGGTAGTAGAATGCAATATATGATAGCCCAACAGGTAAAAGGTATGAACTGTGCTGACTGCTTTAGTGACAGAACACAGAACAGGGTTTCTTAGGTCAGTTTTGATAGTGCATGTCCCTTATAGTCCTGTTAACCTGAAAGATCAGAAAGCTACTTTTTGAGTCTCGTATTTAACAATGGTGCAACAATTGTAGCAAAGCTCACTGAGATACCGTTATTTTAAGCAAAAGTGCTTAACTTCACTCTTCTTGTCTCAGAATTTGTGTGCATTTTCAGAAACATGAAACTGTGTGATCATACAGGATTATTTGTGGTGTCACAGAGAACAAGGAATTTATATTTCCTGCTTTTGAAAGTTGTCAGGGATTATTGCTGATTGGCTCCATCCATTTACTCTGTTTACTCAAGCGTTGTTCTGTATTTGATACACAGAACACTAAGAATGGCTTTTCTTATTTCAGATATGTAATTCTTTCTATCCAGACTGCTTATTCAGACAACGAATGGCATTTTAAAGTGTGACTTATGTATTGTATTTTATCATTCAAGTAGTATTAACTTCAGATTTTTAGTCTGAACCTAAATATTCAGTTTACTGGGTGTATAGTTTCCTACTATAGATAAAACTTCTGGTTTGAAAGAATTTACAAAATGGGCAATAGAGAAGCCAGGAGACCACAGTTTAGGATGGAAAGGATTATAACCTTATTGTTAAAATGAAGAAAATACGAATTTGAAGTATTAGCTATGCAGAGGAAAGAAAAAGGTGTATATCTGAGGAAAAGTTTAAGGAAGTAGAGGTTTCCTGAGAAATACTGATGCAATATTTCTGAGTGTTCAAAGACTTTAAAATATAGTAAGTTTCTATTAAAAAGCACTTTGAAATGTAAAACTGTTCTAGTACACAGATTTGTAGGGTCTGGGTTGTGGGGTTTTTGTTTGTGGTTTTTTTACTTCCTTTTTGTTTCATTTGGTTTGTTTTCAGTCTATTTAAAGGCTAGACTTGTATCCATTAAAATTACCCTTTCTTTTTAGGGTGTGTGCTTTGATATTCCTGCAGCAGACCAAAAGGAAATAGAGGTACGTTCATTGAAATTTCTGTTTACAGCAGACTGTAGATAAAACTGGCTGGCCGGAAAATATTAAGCAACCTGTATGCTGCCTTTCGTAGCAGCAAAAGGGATAGCTTTGAAGGAATTGAAGAATGGAATAAGCATATAGAGTTCCTCTCGTAAAGAATTCACTTGTCCCCAAAAATCTGTTGCTTGAAACTTTTGCACTGGGAAGCGTGGTGGTGTGAACAAATACACCCTTTGTTACTGCTGCTGGATTAATCTTTGTAGGCAGCAAATTTTGTTACACTATAAAATCCTCTTTTGTTCTGTTCCTTGTCTCCCCTTCTTTCACCTAGGATTCTCTCCACATAAAAGTGAATTCCAGGTTTTTGCTTGGCAGAATTAGTATTCCCCTTGCCAAAATTCCTTCTTCTAGACTTTTCTTCATGTCTTTCTCCCTTAGTGTATCTCTACACCCATATGCCCTAGCATTCATTGACTCCAAAAGCAACGCTGGGTTCTGGATGAGAGGGGAGTTCAGGGCAGGGTGTGGGTTTGTGTTCAGTTACAGTGGTATTTTTAATAAATGAAAGGTGGTGATTTTACTGATGAGGTTGCTCTATAAAGCTCTGAGGTGGGTTTCAGTTCTGTTCTTTAGTATCTCAGGCATACTCAGACAGCTGTAGCTCTGAAGCTTAAAATTTTGAAACCAGCATTGACCACTTTAGTTAGAAACTGAAATCCCCTATATTAGCTCACATTTTTACCTTTTCAATTGAGCAAATTTGATAATAACAAAATACCCTGTATTTGCATTCCTAGATTTAACTTGCTATGTCTGACTTTATTTCAATAGGCAAAATGGGAAGATTCAAAACAATGGCGTTTGTGTGTGGCAACTGAATTACCTGAGTTAGTAGAATCACAGCGAGGAGGAGGAGGAAGTGGAGGAAATGGCCGAAGCTTCTCAAGCTCCAGAGGTGGGCGGCGGGGTGGCTCTGGTAGAAATAGATTCAGAAGCAGAGGCCAGAAGCGAAGTTTCGACAGAGCATTTGATCGTTAATTTCAACAATTTAGAACTGATACAAATGGGACTGCAGTATTTTATATTAAATTAAAATAGGCTGTTCCTGTGTGTTTGTACCACTTGGAAAAATCTGTCATTCATTTTTTTTTCTCACTACTACTCCAGTCATAACCAAGACGCTGTTCAATTTAAAAAAAAAAAAGACCACCCTAAAAAGCTCACAAGGAAAATAAAACTTACTGTTTCCTTTCTTTCTTGTATCTTCATTTCAGCTGTAAGACCTGAATCTTTATTCTAGAATATGTCTGTTGCATTCAAAACTGTAGTCTGCCTCACTGTATAATAAACAGATATTAACTGCTGGTCAAACCTGTACATTTTCCAAAAAAAAAATAAAATATTATTTTACAAGTTCATGTTCTGTTAGAAGGTTTTTAAAGTGTGTGTGTGTGTGTGTGTTGGGTAAAGGTGATTAGCATAGTTTGAATAAGCACAGTTGCAGTATAATTTTTTTACAATATAGTCATAGATTGGTTTGGGTTGGAAGGGACCTTAAAGATTACCTATTTCCAGCCCCTTCCATGGACACAGACACCTTTCACTAGACCAGGTTGTTCAAAGCCCTGTCCGCTCTGGCCTCCAACACTTCCATGGAGGGGACAGCTACAGCTTCTCCAGGCAACCCGTGTCAGTTCCTCACTACTCTCAGTAAAGAACTACTTTCAATTTCCATCTGCTCTTCCCCAGTGTAAAGCCATTTCCCCTTTCCTTAAGCAGACATGTCCTAAGCTTTTACGTGAGTTACTGTATATGGCGAGTATTGTTTTGCCGCCGGTACTGCGGTGCAGCGACCTTGTTACAGCGTTGCGGCAGGAGCCCCGGGAGGGGAGAACGCGGTGGTGCGGTCGAGACTCGGAGCGCCGGGGAAGCCAGCGGAAGGGACCGGCGGGACAACGTCGACGGAAGGGGCGGGCAGGGGCCGGTGGCGCAGCAGCCGCATGGGTGGCGTGTGGGGCCGTGCGGCGCGGCTGGGCTTACCTGCGGCCCGGGCAGCGGCGGCCCCGGTGAGCGACCGGCGGCGGCTGGGCTGGCTGTCAGGCGCCAGGGCGGGCCCGCTGCTGCTGCTGGCGGCGGCGCTGCCCCGCGGTCCCGGTCGCCTGCCGGTCGCCCTCGGCGCCGCACCTCACTTCCTGCGCGCTGGGGCGGGGCACTGGTCTTTGGGCCACCGCTACGAGACGGGAAGCCGCGCTGCCGCACACCTCCCCGGGGAGCAGTCAGCCGCCATGCCCGCCGCCGGCCCCACCGATAGCCCCGCTGAGCCGCAGGCGCCAGCGGGTGCCGAGACTCTCCGCCGGGGCCGCCGGAGGAAGGTCAAGGTGGGAACGAGCGCGGGCCGGGCGCGCGCCGCGTGCTGGGCGGGAGCGGCCATTTTATACGTCCCGACCCGGCCCGGCCCAGCCGCGGGCTTGGAGGGGACTGTGGGTGGCTCGGGCACGGGAAGGTGGTTCAGGGCTGGAAGTCGAAGAGCAGTGCGTTGTTGGAGCGGTTCCTGCGCGTGACGCGTGCTTTCCCCCGGCAGGAGAACACACAGGAGAAAAAGGGGCGGGAGAAGGTGAAGAGGCGCGTTAAAGCTGGCGGCGAGCAGGCCCAGCCGGAGGAGAGCGGGCTGGGCGATGGTGACCTTGAACCCCCCTTGCCTAAGAAGACAAAGAAAATCAAGGAAAAGAGCAGTGGCCTGGCTGGAGAGAGCAATGGCTCCGAGCAAACGGTGAAACCTTCCTCCGCTGTAAGCAACGGCGTGACGTCCCTGGCAGTACAGAGCGTGGCCGGCAACACAGCCGCTGGAGAGCACGACAGCGACGGAGAGGTAGCAATGTCGTGGCCGGAAGAGCCTTGTCTTGCTTAATTGAAGTGGTACTGGTAACAGATGGAGTTAATGACACGCATTGGGTGCTGTGTGAGGGATGTGGGAGCGTTGTGCTGCTGTTGTAGACAGCATTTGCCACTCTTCCCCTTAGATTTACAGTACCTGGTCCTGGGCAATGAAGAGTGCCCAGCGTCATGCCTGTTTGCCCAAGCTGCAGGTAGGTGGGTGAAGCACAGCAGCATATGCACCATACGTGGTAGCTGTCTCTCCTTATGCTTTCCTCCTTGTGGCAAATGGCAAACCGTTTGAGGTAGCTTATCCTGCAGTGGAGGAAGCTAGCTAGCAGAAAACAGTTTCCATGTATTTGTTTCTCATTATGTAGCAACTTGGTTTGTGTCCTGCAGCATAAAGAGCAGTTTCTCACTGCTGCGGAGACAGTCACTATCCCAGAAATGTGCACTGCTTTGTGCTGGTTGGCCCTTTGAGGAAGTATTTGGCAAGGTATCCTGTAAGGGAAGGTCATAGTTGTCCTTATTAATCCCCACTTCTGGAGTTCTCTCTGTTCAGGTTTCATTCTTGGCCTTGAATGTATGTGTGAGAGGGCCCCATAGTTTGCCTTCCCTGAATAGGGCTTTCTGTGGGTAGTCTCCTCTCGTTTAAGATGGGAATGTGATTCAGAAGAGTGCTTTGTGTACAACAGGTGTAATGGTGTGATCTCTTCGGTCTTTGAAGTAGAAACTAAATTGTGAATTTTAAATAAGTGTCTACTGGTGTGCAGAATTATGAAGCTGTTTGTGTGGTGTACTGAGTACATGTGATGTTCAGGGAAATTCCTGCTTCATACAATGAATTGTGACACCAAATATGTTTTGCTGTGAAAAATAGTTTTCTGATGATTTCAGTGGACTCCAGTTGAGACTTTAACAAATAGTTTCTCTTTCCTGACCTGTCAAGCATATGTGCATAATGTGGTAAGATCACACAGAAGGTTCAGTTGTTTCCCTGTGTTTTAATTGGACATTAAAAGGTGGTGCAGGTAAATCTGAATTAGGAATGAGATAGCAGTAGTTGTGGTCTTGAACAAATTGTTGCAGGTAACAAAAGTAAGAAGAACTTTGACAGGTTGTCTTTACTTAAGACTGATGTAAAACCAGGATTCACTTGTCAGAATTCTGTCATGCTGAGTGGTTGCCTGTGTCAGTGTGTCCTGTCTTCTAATACTGGGTGGCTGGATTTGAGTTTCCCACTTTATGCTGTGATCATGTTCTTCTTTGTGAAGAATCTGTATCACAAGGGTTTTCCTTTTCTTTAAACAGAAAGGAGGTAGCTGGTAAAATCACAGTGGTAAGGCAAATGCATAGCTTTTCTTGTGTGCCTATGTAGGGTGTGTTATTTGTTCACCTCTTAGGGGTAGTGATTTTTTTTTCATCTTTTATCCTGTTAGGAGCTGACAGAAGAAGCAAAAGAAGGCGACTTCTCCAATTTTCCTCTCTCCCAGAACACCATCAACCTTCTCAAAGGTTAGTTAATGTGTAAAACAAATGTTTGTCCAGAATTGCATGCTGTTACCCATATAAGCAGAGATAGAAGATGAGAGTAATTGTCTTCCATTTATTGTGTGGTGAGAATATGCATGTGAGCAGTCACTGTAGATTCAAATAATCTATTGTTAAGTAGAAACAAAGTTTCTGTTTTGTTCAAGTGCTTTAAGGTGAATTTGTTCTTCCATGGCATGGTTATTCCTAGATATGCATTCTAGAGACAGGGTTTCTCTTCTTGTCAGCATCGTTTTTACTTCAAATCTCCTATCTGCTGTCTACAATACCACTTCTTAAATAAGTATAATGGTGTTTTGTATATGAAGACTATTTGGCTTGTGTAAACATATAGTCTACGATTATTCTCATACTTTCGGGCATTTTTGTGTCTCTTCTTGATTGTTTTTTTTTGAGGAAGTAATCGCTGTAGAATTCTTGTCCCCTGTGTCGGGAAGCTCTGTGATTCTTGTTCCTCAGGCAAAATTCTCCTTGATCCTTTACATTTTCCTTCCTAGGAAGTTTCTTTTGAATTGTTTTCACTTGTGCTGTGCAAAATCTCTCTGAAATTTTAGAATGCTTTGACACAAACACCCTCACCTCCTCCCCACCTTCAGACCCAAGCTGCCACAAAATCTTGGGCTGTAGCAGAAAAATGGAGGGGGGGGTGTATTTGTATTTTTTCCCCCTCCTCCTTTTCCGTTGTCTTATGCCAACCATCACAAAGAAAGCTCTATTTCTTTGTAGGTAACTCAGCTGTGTGTTTGGGGGCGGGATACCTTTCGAGCTAGGGTAGGAGTAAAAGTAAAAATACATGGTTTTCTTCTGTGTTGCATCTCCTATTGTGTATGGGATTTGACATGATGTACCCTACATACTCAGGCTAGTTGTATATGAGGGCTTCTCATCTTTCACTTTCTAATGAAACCTCTTTGGATTATCTTACAGCTCAAGGTGTAAAATACCTGTTCCCTGTGCAAGTGAGGACTTTTCAGCCCATATATGATGGCAAAGATGTAATTGCTCAAGCTCGAACAGGAACCGGGAAAACCATTTCTTTTGCTCTTCCGTTGATTGAAAAACTTCAGAGTGTCTTGCTAGATGGGAGAAGAGGCCGCACACCAAAAGTAACATACCGCTTACAGGCTAACATCAAAACCTTAGAATATGGGAGTTTTTGAAAGTGATTTTGTAATTGCTTTGAGGAATTTTGGGACGTTTTGCTCCTTTATTGGTGTTTGTAATACTGAACGCTTTCATTAGATTAGGAGTTACAATGTGACAGACTTTGCAGCATCACAGTGATAATGTGTTCATGTTTGGGGTTCCTTGTGTCTGCATTTGGGAGAGTGGTCAGGGCACTGCAGTAATAGCTGGTGGACTTCCAGACTGCTATCCTCAGGAAATTAGCATGCAGTTTTGGGGCTGAATCGCTTCCCTCTTCTGAGGTAATGTTTGAGTCAGCAGGACTTGTCTCCATTCATTGAAGTTGTTTCTCACTATAAATTCCATGGTGGTAACTGAAAGCTCTTGAGTTGTCTGTGTTTCTACCTTTCCACCCCCTCCATGCCTGGAGACTCAAGAAATGCAAATGGTGTTTACATTTCTACCTAAGCT